GTTCAATGATGATAATGATAATGATAATAAAGTGAAATGATTACAAGATACATCAAATTACAATAAAAACTAAAACTTAAAAACCAATTTAAACAGCTTAAATTAATCCCTTCCTCTCTTCCCCTCCTTCCCTGTTAATTGAAAAGTTATCCCTCTTTACTTAAACTTTATATTGTAACGTTAAAAAATGCTTTTTAATAGTTTGTGTATCCCGTAATTTCTGCTTTTGATCTTGTCATTTTCTTCATGCTGTATTCTGCTAGTTTAGGTTTTGTGTATTAGTAATACAGTATTTTGTTCTTGTTTCTGTCATTTTTGTTGGGGTCCTCTACGGAAACAAGCCTCAGGGCTTACAGAGATATACTCTGCATTCCTTTCTCATTGTTTATTCTATTAATTGAATTTTGTATTTTCTGTTTTTATTAATTGTATTTTGATGTACGGTATTGGAGTGCAATAAATATTACAAACAAACAAACTGAATAAAACTGTATTAAACGTTACCCCTTATTTTCAGGAACAATACAAACTATTAAGTACTCTTCTTCCCTCCCTAAACAATGCAAATATTCACCCCTTCCCCTTTAAAATAACATAAAACTTAAACATATAAATAACACCAAAACAGTAATGCAGTAAAGGAAAAATGAAACTACTAAAATTAAAGCGAAAAAGGGAGAAAAACCGTTAAAATGAGCATGGAATTCAATATCCTACTGCGGAATTTCCAGGCTCTTTTGGTATATATTTGGCAAAAATTGTTGAAGATATTTTCATACTCTGTTATAAGTAACAACGATGAACAGCCCAAAAAATATTGTAATTTTAAGTCATTGTTTGCATCAATAAATGCATTATATAATTCTATATTGTCATGTAATTCTATTTGCAATTTAAAAGTTTCCTCAGTGCGTATATATTTTAGTGATGGGCAGACTTAGAGAAAATGGTCAATATTCGTGTCTGAATTTAAATTAGATAATGTACATTTCCATTATTATTTGTAGACCAATTTGATGTTCTGAAATTTAGTGGTAGCATATTTAAACAATATAGAACTGTATACCTTAAATATTTAAATTCGCAATTGAGTTGCAACATAGCATAAAGTAGAAATTAGGGTCAACGATGTATGTTCATTTTAATTATCCTGCTGAAGTATTTTATGTAGCTCATTGATAGTAGACCATACCTGTCTAATTCGCCATACAATACAGCACAAGGCGTGTCTGAATCATGGACACTAAGAGCGCGAAAATGAGATTTACGTTTTTGGAACAAACACAAAAGTCTTTGCTTGTTAAAAATTATGTTATGTTGCATTTATTTATCACATTTTATTCAGGTTCACTACCAGGTTATATAAATTTAAAAAGAGAAAAACAATACATATTTGAATTATTGAATTATAAAAGCTTTACATAATTATGTAAAAATTATTCAAAATTGTAATATATTGGTGGCGAAATTTACGGGAATTAAACATTGTGCCATCGTGGTTTCGGTGTATATATTTCTTAAATTCAGTTCCTGTAAAAGTTTTAACGATTAGGTCATTATTCTTCATAGGTGAATGCAGAAATATTAACTTCGAAAATTATACGCAATGCCACACCATCACACCTGGTCAGGACTGGAGCTATGAGCTGAAAGTGAACAGTGCTGAGTAAGTAAAAGCATCACGGTGTTATAGTATATTTATTGACTGCTCATGAGGGGAATGGTGAAATATATTACCCCGAGGTGATGTGGAGACCGTAGCCTTTCTTCCCGAGGGCCGAACGACCCGTCTCCATTATTTGTTTATCGTCCACTCGCTGATCCATGGAGGTCAGGGGATAATCTGGTTCTAGAGGTCGCCGTACTTCGCGATGTAGTGGGCCTAGAGTTTGCACATCGCGACCACTGATCTCTACTATAATAGCTGGATTGCTCATTGGCTGGTTTTAGTGAGGCCTAAGTAACGTATCATTTTAGACAAATTTCCTTTGGCATTTGCTTAGATATATTGTTAAAAATAACGATTCTTGCAACACTTTTTAATAATAAATTTGAAATTAACGTAATGATTATTATCATTTATCTACTTGATGTGACTTTATGCAGTTTAGGAAAGCGCAAGCAAAGTTTTTTGCGTTGTTAGGGGGAACAACGTCACTATAACAACGCGACTTAGTTCGCGCTTTTAAAAACTGCATAAACAGTCGCGTCTAGTGGTTAGATGGTCTGAAAAAAAAATTCCTACATTAAATTTAAATTTATTATTGGTATTGCAAGAATCGTTATTTTTAACTATAATTTAAACAAATGCCAAAAGAAACTTTTCTAAACTGGTATGTCAATTAGGCCCTCCTAATTAGGTCTCACTTTTTCTGTACCAGGATTGGCCGATGAGCAATCCAGCTATTACAGTAGAAATCAGTGATGATCGCGACAGGTCAAAAAAGTACCATTTTTTGAGGGGAATAGTACTTTTTGAGGGGAATAGTACTTTCTATTGCCCCGCTTCTTAACCAATCAGATGCCTAGAATCTATGTATGAGGTATATAATACATTATATAGGCCCTACTGTAATTGATCTCCCGCATTTCACATTGCAATCATCTAATACTACCTTATTGCTTTGATAATAGTATCTCTCTTCATATTTTAGTGTTCAAATTATTATTGAGCGACCAAGCGTAGATTTCAAAGTTGGCCCATTGAATAAGAATAAAAAGAAGAATTATTCTAGCAAGGTTGTATCGTGGACACCAAAAGTATCAGACATCGGAAAACACTTTGTACTCTTCCATGACAGGTAAGCTATATTGATGAGAATGACAGGTAAGCTATATTGATGAGAATGCATAACCAATTACAGGCAGGTATAGGCATAAACAACGACGATCAGACATATAAGAAAAAAAAATTTGGTTAGGAATATACTTTGACGGCGGATAAGTATTTATTGATCGATTTGCATAAACGGTGACGGATAGGCATACAAATCACGGTAGGTACAGGCCAGTTGCGCGTATACTATGTTAATAAACGTTATGCAGAGTACCGGTATATGATGTGGTGATGATTTACGAGTATAGCATAAATAATGACGTAGAAATAAACAAAAACGGGTGTGCATGAGAACGTACTTACTTACTTTTGCTAAGCCATTTTCCGGTCTGAAGTGATGATGGCCTTCCAGTGAGTCCAGTTCTTCATCACTGCTGGTAGCAGGGGCCCTGTCTAGTGTCCTCGCGCAACACGTTAAGATAGTTCAGGGTCCTTTGACACTGGTTCATTCACACTCCTGACAGTGGCCAGCAAATGCGTCTCATTCTGATCTTTTCAGACAGTCTCTCCATCCTTCTATAATAGCACTTGTATAGCATCCGTCCAAGGGTCTGGCAATTTTTTGGTGTTACTATCCAGTCCATATGTTAAAACAGTTTCCACAATTGATATAAATATTTGGTCCGTTAAATTCCTTGGTACAGTGGATTTCCAGATCTTCATGTGTTTGTTACAGCCAGTCCATGCTGCTGATTTCCGAGCCCTTACTTCATTTTCAGTACTCCCTACAAAGCTTCTGAGATATTTACATTCAGTTACACATCCTAACTGGATGCCTCCACAAGCTAATATTTGCCTTTGCTGGCTGTAGGTCATGAACTATTTCTTTTCAATTTGTCTTTAGCCCTACATCTCCTGTTCTTTCGACTATCCTGTCCAGTATTTCCTGAGCTTGATGTAGTTTCTCGGAGAGCAATGGTATATCGACTGCAAAATCCAATGATCTCTAGTCCTATTCGTCTACTTTTTCTTCTATCTAATCAATTTGCAGTTAGTGCATAATCTAGAACTACGATAAAGAGGTAGGGAGCTAGTGTGTCGCCTTGCCGTACACCAGCCTTTTTGAATCAAATTGTGTGGTTCCCCATCTTAAGTTATAACCTTCGTCTTGGTGTTACCATATACTGCTTTTACAGCATAGCTATTTTTGTTGGAATTCCATATGCCTTCATGATGTTGAACATTTTACCTCTATGGAAGCTGTCAAATGCTTTACTAAAGTCGATAAAGTTGGTAACCTGAGGTAGTTGGAATTCCTTGACTCCCTCTATAATTCTTCTCGGTGCTACAATATGGCTCATAGTGCTCCTTCTCGGTCTAAATCAATTTTGGTTGTTCCTCAGTAGCTTGTCTATCACTGGTTTTATCCTTTGTTGTATACCTTTTCAATATTGAGTACAAACTATGGAGTCAAAACAGGTAACAGGTATAAAATATTTAAACAAAGGCTTAATTTGTTCACGAAAACTGAAGTTTGTTTCACAAACTTTCTTGGTACCAGTAGGTCATTTTCTGGGTTTTTTTCTCTCTTTTTGTCTCTCTGTCTCCTGAGCGCTATGTGAATGCGCGCGCTGTGTGTTTATATGAGCGTGCATTCATTTGTTCAAATTGTTTGAATTGATAGTTAGCAGCGTTTGGTTTTTGTAAAACCAAAGATTATACTAGAAATACATGATTGAGCACTCGCATAGCAAAAGTGAGGCGGAAATTGGTCCGGACGTACGAGGCGCACTTCTCTTTTTTTAATGCAAGTTTTCTATACTTGGTCCAGACGTATAGGGCGCCCTTCTGTTGCTAGGTACAGAGCCGTAGATAGAGAGAGTTTGGCCAACTTGGCGCATGGGCGCCATGTTGTCACCAAACAGCGTGCGCGCGTATAGCTTTATAACATTTTATAAAACAC